ACTGATACATGAATGGATACACAAAATGTAGCATATACATACAATGGAATATTATTCAGCCCTGAAAAGGAAGCCAATTCTGCAATATGCTACAACATGGATGAACCATGAGGACATTATGCTAAGTGAAATAAGCCAGTCACAAAAAGATAAACACTGTGTGATTCCACTTACATGAGCAACTTAGAGGAATCAAAATCATAGAGATGGAAAGTGGAATGGTGGCTGCCAAGGGCAGAGGGGAGAAGGGAGAGTTCTTGTTTAATAGGCATAGAGTTTCAGATTTACAACAGTTATAGGGCTGAATGGTGGTGATGGAGCCCAACAACATGAATGTATTTAATGTCACTGAAGTGTTCACTTAAAAATGGTTAAGATGGTACATTTATATTTTTTGTTATATGGATTTTAATTCAATATAAAAAAAAAAAGAAATGAGCTATCAAGCCACAAAAATACATAGAAGACCCTTAAATACATATTGCTAAGAAGCCAACTGGAAAAAGCTACATACTCTATTCCATAGATTTCACATATTCCAATTATATGACACTCTAGAAAAGGCAAAACCATAGAAACAGTATAAAGATCAGTGGTTGCCAGGGGTTGGGAGGCAAGGGATGAAGAAGCAGAGCACAGGGCTTTTTAAGGTAATCCAACTCCTCTGTAGGGTAATGTCAGGGTGGATACAGGAGATCATGCATTTGTCAAAATCCAAGTACAAGACAGTGAACCTTAACGTAATCTATGGACTTAGTTACTAACACTGTGTCAATGTCAGTTGATCACTTGTAAGGAATGAACCACACTAACCAGTGGTCATGCAAGATATTAACAACAGGGGAAAATGTGGGGGAGGAGGGAGAAATGCTCTGCACTATTTGAATTTCTCTATCTAGAACTTTCCTAAAAAAAAATCTGTTAATTAAAAAATAATCAATGGAAGGTAGGCAGTGGATAGAAATATGGATGAAACAAGAGTATCAGAATACTGATAAATGTTGAAGCGATGGGATAGGGACATGAGGGTCTATTACATTTTTCTGTTTAATTTATGTATGTTCAAAGTTGTCCACAATAAAACGCTTTTAAAACTCCAGATTAAATCTTGATTATACGTACAAGGAATCAAGGAATGTGAAGAAAACAGATATTTTTGCAGCAAGTACTCAAGGGGCACACTGAGGGAAGGTGCAATCACACCAGATAGAGCGTGAATGTCCTCATCTCCTTGGGAAGGTTCAGAGCTCAGGGAGCAAGGCGGGCAACGGCACAGTAGGCAAGTGACAGATAGTGAACCTGGAAAAATGCTGGCCCTCACTGGTCACAGAAATGCCAACAATAGGCCCTGAGAGAATTGTCCCAGGTTTTACAATGTCGAGACACCTACAGTTAGAGTGGGCTCAGAAACGGAGCACCGTGTCCTGTGAGAATGCCACTGAGCTCCAGCTTTCCGCAGAGCAAACCTCCTGAATCCTGGGACCATCAGGCCCCCGGTCCAGCTGCTCTGTTACAGGGAATCCATCCAAAAACAAAAGATGATGGACTGAATAATATACGTTTTATGTCCCCTTTGACATAAAAATCCCTAAAAATAGACCCAAAGATTCCTTCTTTGATGAACAAATTCATAACAGCCCTGGGAATCACCAAGAGAGCAGACATTTTGAGGAAGACATCAAAGAGAGACAGCAGCTGGTGACCTGGGATCCCTGGAGGGCTCTGGGTGGGCATTGGAGACCAAGCCAGGGTGCCCTCTCTTCCTCCCACCCTCCCCCTGCCGCTCACCTAATGCCTCCTGCATCCCTCCTCCACTCCCAGCCCCTCACACTCCAGGAACAAGGAGCAGAGGCGCCATTTACACCAGCGAAGCATCTGTCCCCTTGCTCTCTGCCCCATCCTGGGCGGCAGAGCCCAGCCCCGCATCTCCTCAGGGCCCAGCTTGCTCCTCCCTGGCCCTCAAAGCTCCTCCTCTCCATCCAGTCCCAACTGGAGCACAGACACCTGATAGCTCTTCTCCACCTTACAAACAAAACTCTCCCTCGGACCCAGGCTCCCTTTTGGCTACTGTCCACTTTCCTGACTCCCCTTCATGGCCAAACCTCTTAAGCAAAGTGCCTTGCCCCTACTGCCCTCCACTGCTCTCCTTCACCCACTCCAGACCCAGCTCCATTCTCACCACTCCAAGAAGACTGCAGTCACCAGTGATCTCATGTGGCCGAGTCCAGCCATCTCTTCTCCATTCTGCCCAGAGCTGTTATCTGACCCAGCTGAGAACCCCTTCTTGCTGCCATACCCCTTTCCCCTCCTGGCTCCCAGGACTCCATGCTCTATCATTTCAGTCTCCTTTCCTGGACCGTCTTCAGCTGCACCTCTACAAACACCGCCTGCTCCTAGGCTGGGCCTGGGCTCTTCTACAGATACACAGTTTCTCCAGGAAACCTCACTCAATTCCACGGTTTTAAACACCTCTGATCTCACTCGGACACTGCAAACACACAGATGCAGCTTTAAGAGGCAGGTACCAGCTCCCCAGCATCAGCATCTAAGGAGTATCTCAAACTCGATTCCTCTCAACATTTTACAGTTGTATGAGTTCCAAAGAAAGTATTACGTATTTCCAAAAAGGAGGAGAAATCTGGATACAATAAATAGCAGTGAATAAAGGAACCCATAAACTGTATACTTATATCCAATCACAGTTGCTTGATGGGGAAAATAACATTATAGAACTAAGAACAGTCTTGAGCTGGGGAGTGGAAGGTGAGGAGCTGGGAGTGTAGGAAACAGGAACTGATTAACTCTAAGCATTTACAGAAAGAAAGGCGGAAACGGTTGTTCTTAAAAGCTGAAAGATATTCACAAGAAGAATAGAAACAGAAACAATGCGAAAGCCTATAAAATTAAAAATTAAATAAAACGGCAGGCCCAAATTTCAACTTATCAATAATCACAATCGTAAATGGGTTAAATCACTCTATTAAAAGATGAAGGCTCTCAGACTGAGTTAAAATATACCTATTAAATAAAGGGATACGAAAAGATTGAAAATGAGATAAAGATGACTTCTAAAGGGACAAAAAGGGGTTTTCTGTGTTGATAACAGTCAGGAACACTTATGCACCTAACAACATGGTCTTGAAACATAAAGCAAAACTGGACAGACAAGAAGGCACAGGCAGCTCCAGAATCACAGGAAGACTGACCTTCCCTCTTCTAGAAATCCAGTCAGGTGATACAGCAAGTTAGGAAAGAGATCTGCTGATGAACACAAAAAGCTAGATCCAGCTGCAGCTGAGGGAGAACAATGTAAGCAACTAGTGGAGAGGACGCACTCTTCTCAAACCACCACAATGGACTGTGTGCTAAGCCACGATGAAATCTCTAAAGAACCCAAAATGCAGATGTCTACAAGTGACCATATTACTGGACCTTAAGGAAATAAAATTAAACAAGAATTACAAACAAACTGGCTCCCCTCCCCCAGTCTATCCACTTGAAAAACTGTCCACAACCTTCTAAATACCTTGCGTTAAAGAGAGAATCCAGACTGAAAGGACACACTCTTTAGAAATGAACAGCAACGAGAGCAACATGAGGCAAATCTATGTGTGAGGACAAAGGGACAGAGAAGGGACACAGCCTCCACCACAGGTACTAGGAAATATCAACTGTACACGAAGAAGCTGAGCACTTCCCTCCAGTAGCCAGAACAACGACACAATAAAACCAAAGACAGTGGAAAGAAGTGAAGATTCATGAGGCAGAAACAATGGTGTTGACCTGATCAATGGAGCCATGGGCTGGTTGTTTGGAAAGACCTGTGACAGTGACAAACCTTGGGCAGTCTGATTAAGACAATGGCACCAAACAGTACCATCAGGAATGAGAAACTATAGAAATAGCTTTGACGTGACAGGAGAACAGAGTAGATAACCCTGACCAGGACTAGGATGCATTTGGAAACACGCAGCATGGGTTTTGTTTCTTGTTTTGGGTTGCACTAATGGTTGTTGCCGTGGGGGTCAAGGAGGTCCCGAACCGTCTTTCACACAAGAGCCGTTTCCCACCTGAAGTGTTACTTACATCCCGGAGGACACACATTGATGCAGACTAAATGATCAATGTAGTAGGAAAATGTTTTCCCTGTATAGTAAAAGATACTATCTTCAGTATGGAAAAAACATCAAGAAACCAATGTTTACAAGTACTAAACCGTAAAAGAAAGGGAAAAGCAAAAACCTAGCCAACAAACACAGAAAAAATATATTCAACTTACTCATATGGGGAGAGAAATACTTATGTAAAGCACAAAAACAGTCTAGGAGATTACATACCAAATTTTACTAACAACAAGAAATGAAAGTTGCGAGGCAGGTGAGAAATGGAAATTTTCACCACTTCTTGGCTTATATGTTCCTATAATAATGTTTTAGTTTTACAAAAGAGAATGTATTCTACTCAAACAGATGTTTAAAATTTTAAAGAAATTATTAAAATGTTCAAAATGACTTCAGTTCAAGGACATGCATTAAAGCATGAATGGAAAGAACCTCCCCATGACTCTAATAAGAGTCTCCTATAACTTTTCTAATAGTTTACAATGTTGATTTTATTTTACATTTAGATTTTGACTTGGGATTTACGTTTGTGTGAGGGATGCATTAAAAGCTGACTTCCCCCGTGCAGGTGGAAAACCAACCATCCAGGCACCGACCACTGAGCAGTTCCGGCTTTCCCAGCTGCCGAACTGGCTCCTTTCCCACCGGCTGAAAACCTACAGCCACAGATACCTCTCGAGCACCCTGGAGCGAGCAGAGTAAGCTTTCCAACCTGGGCTCCCTGTCCACAAGGGACAGCTACTGGCAGAGCCTTCTCCTGATGTGGCAGGGGGCATGCTGCACACACAAGTGCTCAGGGGCCATCCGCTGTGGAGCAGGACACCCCTCACCCCCGAATGATGAGCAGGCAGTGGGGGAGCCTGAGGGCCCAGTACTGACCTCAGCTGGGGGACAGCAGCCTGCTCAAGAAGGGGAAGCCCACTCTCCTCAGCTCGTCCAGCTTCTGCAGCATGTGCACTTGGCTGTCAGGGCACCGCCCCTCTGCCACATGGTAGAACAGCTCGCCGTTCTTCTTCTCCACCTGCTCCCGCAGGCAGCACCCCCGCTTTTGTTCTGCCAGGAGAAGCAGCAGGTCGAGGAGACCTCAGGCCCCCAACGCTGACAGGATGACCCCGTTGAGGGACATGGGGCTGGTGTCACTGTGCTCACTCTGCACAGCTTCCACAGCTGGCTTTGGGGTGACAACTGTTGGAGGGGCAGAGGAGCTCTGGGAGGGCTTCTGAGGCATTGCTGTGAATGAGAACTTGGGGGCTCTGGGCCAAGCCCTTGTCAGGCCCCAGACGGGTGGGCTCCATGTCTCTCTACAGCCTCCTTCGCTCGACAAGCGCTGTGGGGACAGATGGCCTCCCTCGAGTGTGCTTGGAGAAGAACCTGTAAGAAAGAAGTGAGCCGATAAATCTGCACGCCCCAATCCTGGGGGCTGAAGTCCCCCACAGAAATGCCACTCTTATCTAGCAAGCCCCCGGTGGGGGAAGTCAAGTCTCACCACCAGCATCTACAGCAGACGTGTTTATTTCTGCCTGGCTACCTGACATTGTGGCGGCCACAATGTCTCCTAGAGTTCCTTCCAGAGATTGCTGCACCCACTCCTGACCGGCGGCTTCCTGGGAGGCCCTGGGTGCAGTCTCACCCTGCAGAGCGGCTCCCTTCAACCTGCGGGACTCTGGCTTGGCCCTCAGGTTTTCACTCAAGGACGGCAATGAACTGGCAGCGACTTTCCCGTCTGCTTCACTCCCATGTTCTCTCAGGGCCCCCGTGGGGAAATGTTCACTACAGAGGAAAGAATACTTACTGGGGGTCCAGTTATCCCCGTGAACAGCTTTTAACCACCGGATCAGGTGTTTTCAGTCCTTTACGGGGAGCCTGCAGGATAAATGACAAAGTAGTTAGAACAAAAGAATTAAAGGATCAACTATAAAAGCAAAACAAGTGTTTTTGCGAACACCTACACCTGTAGCAACTTTCTCCATTTAAATATTTAGTACAGATTTAAGGAACACCTTAACTTGCAAGTTATTACTGGAACAGAAAGATGAAAGACCCCCTGTCTACCTCAAGGAGCTTACAGTCTGTAGTGCAGAGGAAGGAAGGAAGGTGGGGAACTCCTCCCAGGCTGTGGTAAATGCCCTGAGGGGTACAGATGCTCAGGCACATAGCGCAGGATGGCATCAAGACAACAGGAAAGGTTCCAGGAAGCCGCAGGAATAGTTCCTAGAAGCTCACGGCTGATCAATCCTCCTGCTGTGCCTGGGATGCAGGGCAGGACTTTGGGTGCTAAAATGGGGAGGGTTGGGCCCCTACTGCGAAGCCAGGCCAGATGTCAGCCAGCAGAGCATCCCAGACAGTCAGCAGGGTGCTGGCCCCAGCTGTGGCTCACACAGCTGAGGATGCAAGACCACCTCCAAGACGAAGTGAGATTCAGAAGCTGTTCTGTGTTTCTGCACTACCAGGAGGAAAACTGCTCGCTTTAAAAAAGCAACTGGCCCGGAGAAGATACTGACCAAGATACTTAATGATTCCTTCTTCTCATTAAGGTAAAATCTCTACATACACCCAACTGTGCTCGCGGGGAGGGTGCGGCGGACTCCCCGAGGGCTTTCTGCTCCACCCGAGGGCACCTAGCACCTTGAGGCTGCTGTGGACCAGGCCCAGGGTGGATCCTACCTCTTCAGGAAGTTCTAAGCAACGTGATTTCCAAACTCAAAATGCTGTGAACACGTTACCCAAAGAGCCAACCCCCCTAACACACACAGCGCGTTGGCCATGACGCATACCAAGAGCAGCTTTCTTGGCAGCGCTGTGCTTCATTCTCAAAAGCAGTAACAAAACTTTGGGGACACAGGCTCTGAAGGGAACTGTCAAGAAAGCTCGGTGGCTGACGCCTGGAATAAGCTCATATTACTAGCTCCTCGAGAGCTTAAGCAACTTAAGACTTAGAACAAATCCCTGTAAGCTTCCCATAAGAGTACGGGTAACAAGCGCCATTCAGGACTTTCACTGCGATCACAGCCTGCAGCACGAAGGAGAAGGACCTGCCAGCAGTCTCTTCCGTTCACCGTTCTGGGGCGTCCAGGAGGCGGGCAAGGCCGCCGAGAAGGACTCGCTCAAACAGCTCAATTCCAGGAGCCCTCACGAAGGGAGCCAGGCCGCGGGGAAGACACAGCCCTCATGCGGGGCGGGAGCCCCCCGAAGAAGCGGCCAGGGAGCCCCGTCCCGCAGCCCGCGGGGGCGGCCCCGGGAGGAGGGCGCCCGCTCCCCCCGGGACCTCTCACACGCGGCGCCGGGACTCACCTGCGGGCGCAGAGCCGCCTTTCCCCGGACTGCCGGGACCCCTCTACAAAGAGCGCCTGTGGGGCGAGGCCATCCAGGAGGAAAAAGCTGCATTCGCTCAGCCTCACCGCTGATGCCAGAGCTCGAGGCAGGCTCCCCGCCATCGAAAGAACCAAAACGTCACAGCAAGTGAAACGCAAGAGGACAACTGAGGCAGGGAAGAGCGTCCCCAGAATGACCTGTTCCTGGACGTCGTCGGCCCCAACCCGACCCAACGCAGAGATGGGGCCGCGGGTCGGGGGTGAGAAGGCGGGGCGGGTCGTAAGCCGGGGCCGGCGGCCGGGCGTTGCCGCGGTGGCCCGAGGCGCCCGCCCCAGAGCCGGCGGCGCGGACCCTGCCCCTCCCGCCGGGCGCCGGCTGTGCCGCTGGAGCGGCCGCGAGGCCCCACGCGGGGGCTGACCGGGCGGCGGTTACCCGTGGCAGAACACGGCGGCTCCTCCGCGCGGCCCGGCCGTTGGGAGCGGTTCGCGGCCGCCCTAGAGTAGGGCTCGCGGCGACACGGCTACAGGACGCGGGAGCCGATCCCTCTGTCCTCAGCGCGCCCGGCGTCGCGCAGCAAGGAGCGCCGAGCCCGGCCGCACGGCAAGATGGCCGCGCCCGCGGGCCGGGCACAAGGCGGGCTGACGCGCCCTGTCCCGAGTCCGGGCGCCCAACCGCGTCTGCTTCCGCTGCCCAGACAGGTCGCTGCCGCCGTCCTCGGAGGGAACGACGCAGGACGGGTAGCCGAGACCAGTCCCGGCCCTCCGCGCTGGGCCCCGCCGTGCGCCAAGATGGCGGCCGACGCACTTCTGCTCGCACTTCCGGCCCCGCCCGCGTTTGCTCGGTAGGATGAACCTTCCGCGCGACGCTGCGCTCAGTCGCGGGCGGAGCGGGAACGTGGACGCGGGTGACGGCTGGCAGGGGCTTGGGGTCGCCCCGGAGCGTGCGCTCGCCTGGGCCCTGGGTCCCCGCGCGTCGCCTGCCGTGGCGTGGGCGCGGGGCGGAGCGGAGTCTCCAGCAGGGCAGCGGGCGGCGTCCGTGGGGAGGCCAGCGCGCTTGTGTCGGTCCCGCGTCTGCGCGCCCGGCGCTCTTCCAGTCCGCGCGCGGCGCTCGGCGGCCGGCCCGACACGCCCGAGGCCGCTGCGACGGGCGAGGGGCGCCGGGGGCGGCGGGCCCGGAAACCGCTGTTTCCTGCCCCGCTGGGTGGAAGCGCTCCGTCTCTTAGGAAGTTACATTCTGGGTGGAGAGGAGAAGCGTACTCCAACACTCACAGTGCACGCGTGTTTTTATTGTTATTATTTCAGGGACCAGTAGATCGTTCCAGCTCCTTTTTCTGTGACTGAAAATGGAAACTGAATCCATCTCGTCGTGTCTTAATTTCTTGGGGTCCTAATACAAAGTGTGTGGAGGGGGGGGGCAGGTGTTGGTGCCTTGGCCAGTCCTGTCTTGCTTCTGCTCCAAAGGGGACAGTTCCTTGATATTTTTCTGGCAAGATGTTTTGGATCTGTGCAAGTAGCCCTGAAAGCCTTTGTACCCGGGCTCTTTCTTCCAGAGCAGTTTTAGTTCTTTCATTCTGGTAAGGAGTGACTTGCCTTTCACTATCCCCGCGTCTGTAACGCAAGGCTTTCATCTGCTTTAATTCCGCCTGTCATCCTGGATGACCTTGTTTTTGCTTCCTTTTTCTTTTCGGGGCAGCTGTAACATAAGTTCACTGGAGTCTCACTTTGGGAACTGTAAGGTAGACATGTATGGCCAATATTTCAATGATTTGTGGCGTCTCGTCACTTAAATGTGTTACATGGCTGGAGGAAACAGCAGCCCTGACTCCCATTTTAAGCAGATGTATTTTTTGCGAAGGAAAACAGGAAAAGTATCAGTCAGTGTTGTACTGTTTGCTGGGTACACTGGGTGGGGGAAGGAATAAAATTATTATCCATTTCTTTTTAAGTTATTCCTGCTCTCATGCCTACGACTATTCATAGAAGAGAGTTGATTAAGGTAGAAGACATGGTTTAATATCGGTCGTATTACCTTAGATGTGAAAGTCATCATGTTAAAGTTAGGTGTAGCCACGTGATGATCTGTAATGGGATGCTGAAGGCTGCTTTAAAGTAGAAAAAGTGTTTGTATTTGAAGGCCTCTGTCGATGCTGATAAAAAAATCTATGGTATTTGCAGGACGTGGTGGGGAGTTTTCTTTCTGACGTGATGCTGTACGTCCTTTTAGGGATGACTAATGGACCAGCCTCCCCTGATCCCTGGAGTTCTTATAGATTTGGCCTTCGTTGCCGGAGTGTTGGGCAGTTCCTGGTTGTTTTTATAGTCATCCATTCATTAAAGTACATTTCTTATTGAGCGCAAGGTTTTGTCGGGCGTTGTTCTAGACGCTACGGCTAGAGAAGTGAACAAAACAGACAAAAAGGAGGAGATAAAGAGACGTTGTTCTAGACGCTAGGGCTAGAGAAGTGAACAAAACAGACAAAAAGGAGGAGGTAAAGAGACGTTGTTCTAGACGCTAGGGCTAGAGAAGTGAACAAAACAGACAAAGAAGGTCTGCCCTGGCTGACCTTCTAGATGTGACACCAGTGGTGTGGCTCCTGTGGAGAGTGATGTGGGCCCAGCTGAGGGGGCTGGAATTGTGGCCAGGAAAAGCCTCACCGCAGAGGTAAGTTTTGAACAAGGCCCAAAAGCAGTGCAGGAGGAAGGCAAGCAGCCTGCTTTGGGAGCGGCAAGAAGTGCAATGTGGCCAGGGTACAGTGGGTTGGCGTGACGGCAGCAGGAGCTGAAGGCAGAGTGGTGACTTAGGCCCAATCGTGGGGCCTTGTTGGTCATAGTGAGGACTTGGGCATTTATGTGTTCTGAATGAGACGGTGACCCTTTGGAAGGTTTTGAGAGGAGGAGTAACATGACCAGACATATGTTTAGCAGACTCGCTCTGGCTGCTCTGTTGAGAATATACTGCAGAGGAGCTAGGGCAGAGGCCAGGAGCCCAGTTAGGAGGCTGCTGTAATACGCCGGGCCAGAGGCCTCGGAAGCTTAGGTCAGGGTGCGGAGAGGAGGTTGAATTCTGGGTGTGTTTGAAGGTCGAGACAGGAGGACTGGGTACGAATTGGAGGTGGTGAGGGGTGGGGTTGGGAGGGAGGGGTGGGAGACAGTGCTGAGTCTCTGGCCTGAGCTCAGAAACTCAGCTGGGGAAGACTTGCGGAGGTCCTGCTTGGTGGGGAGCTGTTGGGAGTTTGGTTTCTCTAAGTTGGCTGTGAGATTTACTTTTTGTCTAAGGAAAGCAGACAATGAGCACCTGCAATACGTTGTATGAAATCCCTGTGCCCCCCTCCCTGGCTCTTCCTGGGCGCAGACATCCCACGGGAAGTCCTCTGGGTGGAGGTTCCTCTCTGCAAACCTTCTTGAATGTTCCACCCTGTTGGCACCGCCCCTCCCTGGCTTTGTCACCTTGAAAAGATTTACTCACTTAGTTGAACCTCAGCTTTTTAAAAAATAAAAATTTACGCAATCAATAGAGCTTGAAAGACAGTATAAAATATTTCCAAAGAGGTAGGAAAAAGAGAATATTCTAGTATTACATTGAATGTGTTAAAAATCCTTGTTTTCCTGCTCTCCCCCGCGCATGTGTAATGATATTCTGAGGTCTGTGCTTTTCTCTGGGATGGGTGTTTGCAAATGGAATTCCAGGGCTTAGACTCTAACAGAAGTGTTAAGTACGATTAATTGTAAAACAATTTCTTGCCATGGAAATCATAATTAACTAATATCATTATATTCTGAAAGTAATAAATATATGTGGATTTTCTTATTGAACTGGAAAAATGCTTTACAATTTTCTTCCCTCCTTTCCACGTAAACCGTGGTTTGTGTGAATTTGCTGGATTGTTCAAACGCTGGGTTGTGTCACTTACAAGATCGCTGTGGTCCAAAGCCGTGTGATTGGGAGCAGAGGCCTGGGGTCGGGGTCTCTAAGGTAATGCGCCCTGGAGCCTGCACAGGGAAGGGCTTCAAGGCCCACTCGTGCTTCCTGGGGAGCCTCCGCCTGTCGGTGTCCTCCCTGCTCACACCGGCATAGAACGAGCCTTTACGCTGAGAGAAGCTGCAGAGCCCTGGGAAGCGGGGAGGCACAGGCACAGGGGCGGGCTGCTGCCCTCTCTGAGGTGGTCCCTGTGCTTCCCCTGGGCCTGTGTGTAGACATTGGTTGCGGTTTTGCATCTCAGTGTAGGTGCCCTCAGAGTGCAATTTGTGCACATTGAGAAAGTCGGCGAAGGCCAGTTCTGTGTCTGGGTTAGGGTTTATGCATTTGGGGTTCATTTGGGTTACAGCCTTCACCTGAATCCTGCTGAGAGCTTCCTCACTGGTGAGGGGGGAGCCCTTCTCTTACTCCTCCGGCAGAGGACCGCGTGTGAGCTCCCAGAGTTCCTTCCTGTGGCTGCTCAGCTGTCCCCCAGGCCTCCTGCACCAGGGACTGACTGACCCACTCCGGGTCTTCTTTCTGCACCGGGAGAGTCCAGGATGTGTCTGACTCTCTGAATGAGCTCTTCCTGCGGTCCTGTGGGAAGCAGGCTGCGTATCTGTGCTGACTCCAGTGTTTGTGTTTCTTTCCTTTGGATTCGTGTATCGAGTGGACAGTGCAGCCCTGTGGCTCCAGTTTCCCTTAGCACTTTGTCATTTTATTCCCTGTGTGAGAAATAGCATTTTGAGTTTCTTGGGCTTAAAATTGTAAATTGATGGAGAGATATAATGTCAGTTAGGCAAGAAAACTGTGGAACTAAATAGAATTTTTGTTCCTTTGAGGCAACAGAATCTCAAGATGTGAGATGAATGTGTTTAAGTTTTCAGGTACATTTTTCATTTTTACGTCAGTGTTTGTGCATGTCCCTAGAGAAAATTAAAATTTAAAAGAACAATGGAATTTTTATTTTAATTGATGTGGAGAAAACTAATCCAAGTTTATCTAAGTCTTGAAAATCCTACTACATTTAAGAAGCTAACCCCAAACCCCTATTGGATTATAATATGTTACTCATTCCTGAAAATACCTGCTGTGTGAGATATAGTGGAAGGACAAACTAGGATGCAACTTGTCCTTTTAGTTAGCAAGAGATTTGAAATTTTCCTTTTGTATGATTTACTCTTTTGTAACTGTTAGTGTGGTAAAGGAATTACATGTTAGAATGGTTTCCTATGTACAAAAGTTAAAATTAAAGAAAAACTATTAAATAGTTTATATATACACATGATGTATATAAAATTTTCTGTTTATTTTAAATAAGTCTGTGAGATAGAAAAGCCTAACTTCAGAAGACTCACTGCCAACATTTCCGGGTCCCCTCCAGCACGGTTACTCTAGCCACCCTCAATACACAGTTTTGATCATTCTTGAGCTTCCTGTTGGTGTTTCTTTATATAAAGACATCCATTGCAAATGCATATTTTTCTTACCCACATTTGTCCTTGTAAGGAGCAGTCAGACCCCTCGCTTTTTGGTGTGTGTTGACAGCTTACGCCTCCCTCCCCCTTGTCCCTCGTGTCCATACCCGGACCTGCTGAGGAGGAAGTCCGGAGGCTCCCTGTTCTGGCATTGGCTTCGCATCCAACCACACAAGCCCCTGTCTGTGTGCAGAACTCTTGCCCTGGCCCCACCCCTGGCAAAGATTTTTTGCTTTGACCAAACTTTAGTCAGGGTCCTGAACCCTCTGCTAGGCCTGTCTGTGTAATTCCTTGTAAACTCCGGTTTTAGCAAGAACCTTGCTAACTAGTTTATCCGGAACTTGCCATCCCCATTCTGATGCCCCTGGAGATCTGCTCGGGCTCCTCCTCCTCCACCATCCCTCAAGTG